CTGCTTGGTTACGAAAGTCATGTGTCATGAGTGATACACGCTTAGGCGATCATGTATCTTTCGATTTTCGATTTTTTCCCGCAGTAGTTTGCCATTTCTTTCTGCGGTAGACCAGTTGCCATCCAACGCTATAGAATCCGGTCTGTCCTGCTATTTACCCATATCTAGTTGGGAGATGATGATTCACACCTTTCCCAAGGGTATTAGCACGTAAGTGAATGTAATGGATTCGACTGGAATTCGAACTCGGCTCTCAATCCGAGCCACTATCCATTACTTCACTATAAGCTTCACAATAAAGCAAGGTTGTATTTACCTTTTTAAATCACACTCACTTATTCTGATTTTCTCGAAAGTCATATCTGCCCAGTTTCTGATTCGAAACAAACAAATCAATTTCTGCAGAATTAAAAGGATATTTATTTACATCGTTCGGTCTGTGGTCCTCATCTTTATTGCCATATTCATGACGTTTCAATCGTTGTGCATCCCGGCCTTCTTCAGGTGATATGTCTTGGAATTTTGAACCGAACCCTTTTAGCCCACTGGGGTAGATTGTTCTAATTCCACATGCCATGCTTTTGGATATGTTTCAGTTAATTCCCCTTGATAACTCAACTTTCCAAGTTTTTGTTTCCTCTGCTGTGTTCAGGGATTGAACTCAGTTTTTTTTAAAGTCACTTTTGGATCATTAGCCAACGCTTTTATCCACTGGACCATGATCCAACGCTTTTATCCACTTGACTATGTGTTGTTCGGTTCGAAATTCAAAGAAACATCGCCTGAAGAAGGTCATACAACAACAGAAACGTCGTGAATATGGTAAAAAAGATGAGGACAAGTCTGAATAGTATAAATAAATACAATACCTCATCTCAGAAATATACACAAATCCTGAAGAAGGCCGGAGCGTACAATGGCCGAAACGTCGTGAATATGGCAATGAAGATGAGGACAGCAATGTAAATAATTATAATACCTCATCTCATAAAAATACACAGATGTTAATAAAGGATTTTTTTTTTTTTTTTTTTTTTTTTAAATTGGTCACATCGCTTTTTATGTTATTTTATTCTTTTAATTTTATTTTTAAGAAAACTTAATATTCTTTAGTACACGGGTCGATAGACGAATTAAAGTGTTAAAATAAACGGAGCGTCTATTCAAATACAGGTATCCATTAAAAATGTTTGAAGTAATAAAAATGTTGACTTTAAACAGAGAGAGAGACAGACAAACAGACACACACACACACACACACACGCACACACACACACACCTTTGCGTGCTCGCGCGCGTTATCGTAGTTGTAAAAAGTTATCCATGCGTTTTTTCCTCGCTCATGTATGTGAGGTATGATCTAGAATGACCTTTTTTTTCCAGTCGTTTAATTAAATCTTTCTTACCAAGTTACTCGAGAAGACTTTGCCGCCATTAAAACGGCCGTGTAAAAGCCTTTCTTACCGGAGTCAGCGACACTTAGCGTCATTTATATTGTTTGTTAATTTCCGCCTGACTCTACAATCTCTTCGCAACGGTCGACGCCCGGAGACAAACGAATTTGAAGAAACTAATATAAATCCGTCTTTATTTAGATTGCGGCAGTAAAATTGCTCAACAAACGAATGTTCACCCGGAAGTCTGTCTCTGATTAGCCAAGCCCGTTTAAAACCGATAATCATGGAAAGGGATATTGTATTGTCAAAAAAAAAAAGAAAAAATGATATTTAATAATGATGTGCGCTGAAAGAGAGAATTCGTACACAGAAAATTGCAATAACCGGTTACCAGTTAGAACAGTAATTCCCAAACACTTTTCCCTCTGGGGCAGCATTTTCGCGCTCACCAAATTTTAAGTGATAAAGAGTACACTTAAAAATTAAAAAAAAAAAAACAGAATGTTAAAGGGAGATAACCGTACCCTATTTATATTATTCGGACTATTGTCCTCATCTTTTTCGCCATATTTACTACAACGTTTCGGCCGTTGTACGCTTCGGCCTTCTTCAGGTGGTTGAAATGTCGAACTGAACCCTTTATTTCGCTCACTGGGGTAGACTGTTCTAGTTCCACGTGCCATGTTTTAATGGATGTCAGTTATCTCCTGTTAATTCCCCTCTCCAAGTTCTCCACTGCCTTAACCGGGTATTGAACACATACTCTTAAGGCGGTGGAGAACAGTAGTTTGTTCAAGAGCACATTTCTTGAAGACTATTGCAGGGATACCATCAAGTCCATATGCTTTGTGGGGATCCAGTTTGGAGATGATAGGCTGAGTTATATACATATCATTCAGTTGAGACTCGGATCTAAATGGAAAGTCAGGCAAAGATACTTCGGATGAATCAAGAGAAGAATTGGAAGAGAATTTACGAGCAAAACATTCTGCTTTATTAGTCGAAGATTTTAACACCTCAAATTGAGGGAAGACTATGGTGGTGGATAGAGTAAGCTCTGTGTCTTCTCCTCTTCATGTTAAATTTGTATCTTTTTTTTTTTTATACGTGTATTGGGCACATTTTAATATTACTATTTCCTGGTCTAATTCAATTCTGAGCATTAGTATATTTTCCTGGTCTAATTCAATTCTGAGCATTAGTATATACCTATATACCTATATAGGGTACTGTTAGTGTACCTTCTGTAGTTGACGTATAAGTTTTAGAATAAAATACTAGTGCTTCTATCTAATAGCTGATGCCGATAAGTGCCTCTTGCCAATAAACCTTTCACTGTGAAGAATAGAAAATTTATCTTATGACATCACGAGGTCACGTGATACCTGTAGAAATTAAGTTCATTAACATATTTAGAATCCACAGTTTTTTAGCATTTTTTTAAAGTGCTCAATACAATGTAGAGCTTAATGTTTTTGATAATATATTTAAATAAAATATATATAATCGATTTAAAAACAGAACACTATCACAACGTGGGTTTTACCAAGCGGATCGTCAGATGACGTTATCGTACCCGGCAGGAAGTTACTGCCGGCTACTCAAACGTCAGAAAGCGTCACCGCGGAAAAACAGAACGAATGCCGTTAACTTCCGGTGACTCAGCGTTTTTCAGAGAACGATACACAAAAAACAAAACATACGAAACATAAACAAACACAAGTCCTCCTAATGAGCAGAAACTACTCATGGTGTCCAAATGAAACCCATGTGTACAGTCAAAATGCTGATGGTAATTTTTAATCATCAACCAAGAGGCATTGGTAACCGGCTACGATGGTGACCAAAGCGGACATAAACACAGCCGATTTTCTTCCACCGAATAACTTGGAACTCGGCTTGGCTTGCTCCGGGCTAAGTAACAGTCTAACTCTCTGCTCTCGGGCGGGGAGGAACCCGGACGAGGCTCGGACGAAGGGCGGAGTCTCGTTTGGGGTGGTTGACTGCCCCTGAACCCGTTCAAAGAGGGTTCAAAGAGGGAATATTTTTGGCCGAGCCTACGGGCTCGAAAATCACACGTTAAACCTTGCCTTGTGACGCATGTAACCCTCGTAGGGGGTAGCTAAATATCACTTAGAACTCGGCTGATTTTGCCCCGGGGTAGAGCGACTTTCTCCCCCTCTCACCTTCACCGACACTCGTCGCTGACCGCACGAAGCACCCAACTTCAGCAGCAGCTGGCCTACCCAACTTCAGCAGCAGCAGCCGAACATGAAATGCGAGAGCCCTTTTTAGGGCTAGCCTGGCTACATGATATGCGACAGTTCTTTTTAGGACTAACCTAGCCACATATGCGAAAATCCTTTTTTAGAACTACCAAGCTGCGTTCTTACACGACTGTCATTCTAAGGACGAACAGGCTACCCCAGCACCGTCTGCGCCAATCCTCTCTCTTCTTAAACGCCGACGCGCTTTTTGCTAAAGGGCAGACGTCCGGTGATCGACGGGACCTCGAATACCGCTGTTCCATCTGCCTGCTTCAGAGCTGCCGCCTAGAACCCTAACAACGATCCTTCAACTGGCACTCCCTGACTTCACGATCAAACTACGCCAAACAATTCCTGTACCTACATTTGTCCAGACCGACAAATAAATTCGACGTTTGTTATTCTAAACCTCTGACTTTGTTCCTCATTGTTTTAGCTGTTCACATCTTTCTTCGTTAAAAACTTGCGAGGGGGCGACATTCCTTATCGGCCCCGCATAACGTCAGTCTGATTCACTTTGTGAAAGCCGGCTAAGTATAAGTGTCGTTATAAATCGATATTATATTGACCCTGTTATGCTGACTGTTAAGGACTTCTGATATTAAATGTTTGAACTTCATTTGGCTGTATGACGATCTTATAGACTGCCCATGTCTATAGGACATGCGTTGTCAGCGTGCTACTCTACGGCAGCGAGACTTAGAGTGTCTACTCCAGACAGGAAAGACTTCTTAGCGCCTTTCATCTTCGCTATCTGAGACGCATTTTGGGTATCAATTGGTCCGAATGGGTCACCAATGCCCATCCTAAAAGAGCCGGCACGAAGAGGTTGGATGACTTCGCCAACGATCGCTCACGCTGGAGACGCGAAACGAAAGTTTGCCACAGGGGAGAAGCATGCTTAACGTAATGAAAACAACAAGGGTAGAATCTTCAGATGCATTCATTGCAATCAAGAATGTCACTCCCGCGTAGGCCAGTACAGCCATAACAGATGCTGCACGGCCATCAGCAGCCGAGGCTTGCATCTTTGGATGCAAATCCAAGATTTCTCGAGGCCGACGGAAGCCACACACACACGACTGCAATTGTGTATCGATTCTGACGTGTTTTTGTTTTAATATCCTAAAATAAATAATATTGCTCTGCACTGATCCCTGTTTTAAATTAAATGTTACGAACGTTGGTTATGTACTCTATTCGTTCTCATCGTACCTGGCTATCTCTATATATATATATATATATATATATATATATATATATATATATATAATGCTGTTTTTCTTCATTCGCTATTCATCCTTTCTTCCATATTGTGTATATGTGTAGGTATGGTTTACGGCCATATCACGTTGAAACAACGCTTCTCGTACGGTCATCGAAGTTAAGCAACGTCTATACTGGTCAGTACCTTGATGGGTGACCGCTTGGGAATACCACCTGCTGTAAGTTTGGATGTGCTGGTAATGTAATGGATAACGGCTCGGAATTGGAAATTGGAGAGTCGAGTTCAAATTCTAGTCAGGTTCGTTATATTCACTTACGCTACACCAACAGCCATGAACCACCACCCACCGAATCGAGAAAAAGCTAACGATCTGTCAATCCTACCGTTGTCCGGACCGAGTGAGTTTTCCTGTGTTGAGTCAAATTAAGCCGCAGGCTCCACTCCTGTGTCTCTCGATCGACATCGAACCTCCCCTTGACTGTGTCTCTCTCGATCGACATCGAACCTCCCCTTGACTGTGTCTCTCTCGATCGACATCGAAGTCTCCCCTTGGCTGTGTCTCTCTCGATCGACATCGAACCTCCCCTTGACTGTGTCTCTCTCGATCGACATCGAACCTCCCCTTGACTGTGTCTCTCTCGATCGACATCGAACCTCCCTTGACTTTCTCTCTCGATCGACATCGAACCTCCCTTGACTGTGTCTCTCGATCGACATCGAACCTCCCCCTTGATCGATCGACAACCTCCCTTGACTGTGTCTCTCTCTCTCGATCGACATCCAATTGAGACCTCCCCTTGACTGTGTCTCTCTCGATCGACATCGACCTCCCCTCGATCGACTCGAAAAACCCTTGACTGTGTCTCTCTCGATCGACATCGAACCTCCCCTTGACTGTGTCTCGATCGACATCGATCGACATCATCCCGAACCTCCCCTTGACTGTGTCTCTCTCGATCGACATCGAACCTCCCCTTGACTGTGTCTCTCGATCGACATCGAACCTCCCTTGACTGTGTCTCTCTCGATCGACATCGAACCTCCCCTTGACTGTGTCTCTCTCGATCGACATCGAACCTCCCCTTGACTGTGTCTCTCTCGATCGACATCGAACCTCCCCTTGACTGTGTCTCTCTCGATCGACATCGAACCTCCCCTTGACTGTGTCTCTCTCGATCGACATCGAACCTCCCTTGACTGTGTCTCTCTCGATCGACATCGAACCTCCCTTGACTGTCTCTCTCTCGATCGACATCTCTCTCGACCTCGAACCCTTGACTGTGTCTCTCTCGATCGACATCGAACCCCCCTTGACTGTGTCTCTCTCGATCGACATCGAACCCCCCTGACTGTCGTTCTCGGTCGTTCAAAAGGTGCTTGCCACACTCCATCGCTGCAGTCGTCTTGCATGTTTAATGTGTATAAAGTGATTTTGTGTTTGGCTCGTGTAGATGTTACTAATCTCTTTTTTTTTTTTCTTTTTTTTTTTTTTTTTTAAATTTTCATTTCTATTTACTTAAGTGTGTTCTTAATTCGACGTGCAACTCCCCGGAATAAATTAGCCTTCGTTATAGTGATTGTAACTTAAACTTTTTAATCGTAAATATAAATAATATATTATTTATCGCTTTACATTATCGACCTGCAATAAATTTTACCCAAGCGTATTAAAATGTATTTGAATATTAATCGAGATTTGAAAGTATGTCATTATAGAATAAAAACGCTAGCGAGGCACATACAGTCGGTAGAACAGATCGTGAATGACGTTTTTCAAAGTTTACCATAATATCATTAATATCGACCTTAAAATTTGGTATTTATTATAAATGTTTTTTTTTGTTAAATTCGGTATTAATTACAATGTAAACGAAGAGAAATACGGTATTAATTTATAGACTTCTTTTTAAAAAATGCACGACACACTGTCCTCGCAGCAGACCGAGCAATTTGTTCAATATAATCTTTCCACTTCATGTCAACAGAAAACGTTAGAGAAGGTTTTCTTGAAGTTAACATCAGCCATATTGATGGAAGACAAAGGTTTTCTAAAGCGATCACAAGAAAGATTTTCTTTTGGAGGTGCGAAAATTCATTAGCCATTAAGTTTGGTATGACCTTATTAAGCAGGGTCATTTTTTACTAATCCGAATTCCTCCTGGCTTGATCTCAAGTTCTTCATCATATTGACGTATGACTCTCTCATATTACCAAACATGGTTCCTTCAATTATCCAGCGACTTTAGTAGTTGGTAATCGATTCGTGGGGCGGTCATTCACAAATCGTATCAAGAATTGCATGCTTTTATTCAGCTCTTTATTTTTCTTTCTGTCTTTTCTATTTAATTTCTTATGTAAACTGCTATATTTTAATCGCCATTTTGCCTTCCATTAGTATGGCTAATGCTAACCTCCAGGGAAGCGACTTGTTGCGCCTTCATGTTCTCGTGTTTTCCACTGACACGAAGTGAAGTGATTATATCGAATCGATTGCTACGTCTACTGCAAGGAAGGTTGTGTCGTGCCAGGAAACGTTTCTGGTCAGAATCCATCTTGCACATATACAAATCTACAATTTGTCTATGCATGGAATATTGTTGCTATACCTGGTCTGGTGTTCCTGTTATTCATCTGGAGATTCTTGACGAAATCCAAAGAAGGGTCTGTAATCTTATCGATCCTGACCAGACATCTCGACTTGAGTCACTTTCTCGCCGCTGTGACATCGCTTCCCTCTGTCTTTTCTATAAATATTTTCATGGTAATTGTTCTGATGAGCTTTCTTCTTTGGTACCTCGACTATGTGAATTTAAACGTGCTACTAGATTGGCAATTAGGTCTCATCGTTTTACTGTTGAACTACCTTAAACGCAACCTTCAGTTCTATTAGTTTCTTTTCTCGCCCGTGGAACTCCCTTCCTATTTCTTGCTTCCTTGCCAACTACAGTCTTCAAAAATCTAAATGCAACGCCAACCGCCATTTTCTACCTTCCTGAACCCTCTTCTTTTATTGTCCTTTCTTTTCACTAAAGTCTCCACATTCTCTTTCACGCTCTGTAACCACTTGCGTCTTAGTGGCATCATCACCTTGCTTGGGGTGAAATGATTAAAGAAATCCTCCTCAAAGTAACTATATCGAGTTTGTCCGGGCACACCTCGATGTAGTGTAATGGTTAAGCAAGCTTGTCGTGCTAGGTCAATTACGACTGAGTAATAGTTTGATACTCAATGGGTGCCACACTTAAGCTACGCTTATTAAATTACTATATCGAATTTGTTCTTTGTAATTATTCTCTCATGGTTTAATAGTATATACAAATCCGGGACAATAACCCGGGGTCTTTGTACAAAGTTATTTCATGTTTAGGTCAATCGTCAAAGCATCAGGTTCCTGTTGTCAGCAGCGAGTAGCCATTAGCAAAAATACAAACGGAAAACTAATACGAAACTAAACCAAAAACCACTTTCTTCCATCGGTCAGTCTGATCTTCAACCAGAGCGGAAACAATTAGTTGGTTTGAATAAATACTATACTTGTTAAACCAATGTTTTTTCCCCGCCTTCAAATAAATTGGTACCACCAAAGAAAAGCGATACGTTTAAATTGAATTTTTTTAAATTAAAAAGCTTTCTTGAAGCTTTTGAGTTTTAATTTCAAGCTAATAGATTAAATTTAACATGTCCAATAGGCAAAACACTTTGCTGTATTTCAAAACTAATTTAAATTGAAGAGCATTTTTAACACTAACGTGTGTGTTCTTGTAAAGTGTTGCAAATTTCTCAATAGATTTATGTTCGGAATTTTTTCTAAAGAAAAGAATGTAAAAATTACTTGAGGAAAATAACGTGAGCGCCGACCCAATGATCTTAAATTGCTAACAGCCATGTATTTTGTCTTCTCGCAATTAAGATTAGTCCTTTCTTTTCGTTTTATTTCACTGTCTTCTGTCGAAGTTTCCTTTTATGCGTTTGCTATTAACAATGTCATTTAAAGAGCTTATATTAAGGATGTGAGCCTGTTCATCGGACTTAATTATCTGATACCCAGTTCTATTTTTGTATTTTTACTAAATTAATTTTCTATCGGTGGTTTGCTGCCAGTATAAGTTCTAGATTCTTCTAATATTCTCCCCAAATATTTCTGGGTGACAGAGCAGAAGTGTCAATTCGTAACATCTACATTGTTGCTTCGAATTAACGTTTTTAACTCGTTAACCATTACTGACCAGTTATTGCGATAAAGTATTTACACCACATCAATAAAAACAGCTTCACTCTTTTACTTCCCATTTTTTCTTATATGCCATGTCTGTAGATGATCAGGACCTCCACAGCTTCCCATATTTTGTTGCTCTAAGTGACTCTTAATTCTTTGTTCTACCATTCATTAACAACCTCGTTAGGTAGGCCGCTTGCTTTTTTTCCTACCTTGCCTTTATGCATACTCACTCAAATAATATTTGCTTAAGCCACCAAAGGGAGTCGTTAAACTATGAAAAGTAATTATTTGAAAAATAATTACTATAAAGCAGCACTTTAAGGCTTCTCCTTTCTGTCTAAACTCTAATTTCCTTTCTGTCTTCTCGAAATCACGTTTCAAGTTTCCCATTGCTGTTGAAGGAAACGTCCTTTAACTTGTTGGAAAGCAACCGAAGTGAAGGGGGCTGAATCTAGAGAATAAGGCGTGTGTAGCAGAAGTTTCCAACCTCGCTTCTTCATTGTAATGATTTTCCAAGCATAGCTTAGATATAGCACAAGGCCGAAAGTATGGTGCACCTAGTGTGCATCGAACTTAGTATTCAGTCGTAATTATTCTAGCTAGACAAGCTTGCTAACCATTACGCCGCCTCGAGGTGCCCTGAAATGATTTTCTAAGCGTAGCTTCGATGTGGCACAAGGTCAAAAGTATGGCGCACCTAGTGAGGATCTAACTCACTTCTAATTCGTAATTGTTCTAGCGAGTCAAGCTTGCTAGCCATTACACCATATTGAGGTGCCCAGTGATTTTCCAAGCGTAGTTTAGATGTGGCACAAGGCCGAAATTATGGGGCACCCAATGAGGATCGAACTCACTACTCAGTCGTAATTGTTCTAGAGAGACAAGTTTGTTAGCCATTACTCCGCCACCTGGTGCTCAGTGGCTTTCTAATCGTAGCTTAGATGTGACACAAGACCCAAATTATGGTGCACCCAATGAGGATCGAACTCGCTATTCAGTCGTAATAGTTCTAGAGAGACAAGCTTGCTAGCCATTACTCCACCTCCTGGTGCCCAGTGGCTTTCTAATCGTAGCTTAGATGTGGCACAAGGCCGAAAGTGTGGGGCACCCAGTGAGGATCGAACTCGCTATTCAGTCGTAATTGTTCTAGCGAGACAAGCTTGCTAACCAATACTCCCCCTCGAGGTGGCCCTAGCTTTTTCATTCTATGTTGGATTATGTTAGCAACGTGAAAGTGAGAATTGTCATGTTTTATAATGACACTGTATCTTTTGAGTCTCTGTTCATTTGTTCAGCATTCAGCTTAACATTGACCGTTTGGTGGTTTTGAACCATTTCTGTACCATTCCGTCGGTAGTGAGGTCCTCTCCGTACGCATCACAAATATCTCCAGCAGCCTTGGCACCTTTGTGAACTTGATTAATAGCAAATAGCTGTCGAACAAGTAGACAAGAATGAGCCTCATTCTTGTCTACTTGTTTTATTCCATCCCAAAGGGGTGGCTAATCTGAAAGAAAATTTTAATAACGTTAAAGAATTGCCTCAAAGGATGACCGGAGTTATTAAGAAACTTTGAGATCATTTTTAAGAACATCAGAAAATAAACGAATGTATGTAACAACCTAATATATTTAAAATTAGCTTTACTTTTAGTTCTTCTTCAGGTGCCGTGTCTCTTCAGGACGTAGGCGATCATGACACTCCACAATTTCCTGTCCTTCTTAGCTCTTAATAAATTTCATCTTTTTTTTTTCTCCAATTTCTCCTAAATCTTGTTCCGCAATCCATTTACTCAAGGTCACTAAGGATGTTATGCCTTGTTTTCCCCTTTCCTCCTTGCCTTCTTCCTGGGTATGACGTTAAACTGCATCCAGCAGCAAGGACTCTGATCAGGTGGTTTTGAGGAGCGTGGAACCACCTCTTAATTGCAGGTGTTCCCAGGTCCACCCTGACCCGGGGTGGTAGCACCTGTTAGGGTCCCAGCTATGGGCAAATAGTGAACTCCCAGTTTTGTTCCAGACCTTACCCACGTCCTGGGTATCGTGATAAACTACGTCCGCGTCCTGGGTATGAAGATAAACTACGTCCAACAGCAAGGCCTCTGGTAGTGTTTTTTAAAAAATAATGTAGCCAGCTATGCGTTTTTGAAAAAAAATAATGTTGCTTTTTCTA